GGTGTCCCTGTTTGCGAGCGTAAGTTGATGAAAAGAATACACTCGACGAAGACAGGCAGAACAAAAAAAGGGTTGGACAGGGCAAAAAACGGGTCCAGAAATTGGCTCCGGGTTCAACCCCACAAGTGCAAAGTCATGAAGATTGGGGAAGGGGCAAGAAGGCCGCAGACGGAGTACAGTCTAGGGGGTCAGAGACTAAAAACCCCTCACTCAAGGAAAAAGATCTTGGGGTGAGTATAACACCAGGCACATCTCCTGAAGCGCACATCAACCAAATAACTGCTGCGAAATATGGGCGCCTAGAAAAACTCGAACAGCATTCCGACATCTTAATAAGGAATCGTTCAGGACCCTGTACACCGTATACGTTAGGCCATATTGGGAGTATGCGGCACCAGTTTGGAACCCACACCTAGCCAAGCACGTAAAGAAACTAGAGAAAGTGCAAAGGTTTGGCAACAAGACTAGTCCCAGAGCAAAAGAGGTTTTGTCCTCGAGGAGAGTTAAGGGAAATCAACCTGACGACACTGGAGGACAGGAGAGAATAGGGGGACATGATAACGACATAAAAAATTACTGAGAGGAATTTTACAAGGTGGAAAAAAAACAGGATGTTCCAGAGATTGGACACCCGTAACAAGGGACAAAGTTGGAAGCTAAAGACACAGATGAATCACAGGGAGTTAGGAAGTATTTCTTCAGCCACAGAGTAGTCGTAAGTGGAATAGTTTGGGAAGCGATGTAGTGGAGGGGGATCCATACATGCTTTAAGCAGAGGTACGATTTAAAACTCACGGCTCAGGGAGAGTGACCTAGTAGCGATCATGAAGAGGCGGGCCAGGAGCTCGGACCGACCCCCGCAACCTCAACTAGGTGAGTACACCCCAACCCTACCGCGCGCGCACCACAACACACCACACACCACACACCCCACACCGTACACGCACACACACACACCAAAACACACACCCACACTACACCAGACGATTTGAAATTAATGAGAAGAATCGAAACGGACGAGGATCAGGCAGGACTACAAAGAGATCTGGACAGGCTACAAGCCTGGTCCAGCAACTGGCTCCTTGAATTTAACCCTGCCAAATACAAAGTCTGAAGTTTGGGGGAAGGGAAAAGAAGACCGCAGACACAATATAGTTTAGATGGCCAAAGACTGCAAACCTCACTAAAGGAAAAAGATCTGGGTGAGTTAAACACCGAGCATTCTCCTGAGGCGCACATCAATCAGATAACTGCTGCAGCATACGGGCGCCTGGCAAACCACGGATAGCGTTCCGATACCTCAGTAAGGATTCGTTTGGGACTCTGTACACCATCTACGTCAGGCCCTTTACTGGAGTATGCAGCACCTGTTTGGAAATCCAAAACCTAGTCAAGCACGTCAAAAATTAGAGAAATTTGCAAAGGTTTGCAACAAGACTAGTCCCAGAGCTACGGGGATTGTCCTATGAAGAAAGGTTTGAGGGAAATCGGCCTGACGACACTGGAGGCCAGGAGGGTCAGGGGAACATGATAACGACATATAAAAACTGCGCAGAATAGACGAGGTGGACAAAGACGGGATGTTCCAGAGATGGGACACAGACACAAGAGGTCACAATTGGAAGTTGAAGACTCAGATAAATCAAAGGGATGTTAGGAAGTATTTCTTCAGTCATAGAGTAGTCAGGCCAGGGAATAGTCTAGAAAGTGATGTGGGTTGGAGGCAGGAACCATACATAGTTTTAAGGCGAGGTATGATAGAGCTCATGGGGCAGGGAGAGAGAGGACCTAGTAGCAATCAGCGAAGAGGCGGGGCCAGGAGCTGTGACTCGACCCCTGCAACCAAAAATTTAGGGAGTACACACACACACACACACACCACACACACACAAAAAGGGTCGGTCCTAGGACCGTGCTATTTCGGGTATATGTGAACATGAGGGAAAGGGTTTTAGACTCAGAAGTGTCCTTTTTGCAGATGATGTGAAGTTAATGAGGAGAATTAAATCTGATGAGGACCAGGCAGGACTTCAAAGAGACCTGGACAGACTGGACACCTGGTCCAGCAACTGTCTTCTTGAATTTAACTCCGCCAAATGCAAAGTCATGAAGATCGGAGAAGGGCAAAGAAGACCGCAGACGGAGTATAGACTAGGTGGCCCAGGACTGCAAACCGCGCTCAAGGAGAAAGATCTTGGGGTGAGTATAACACCGAGCATGTCTCCGGAGGCACACATCAACCAGATAACTGCTGCAGCATATGGGCGCCTGGCAAACCTGAGAACAGCGTTCCGATACCTTAGTACAGAATCGTTCAAGACACTGTACACTGTGTATATCAGGCCCATACTGGAGTATGCAGCATCTTTTTGGAACCCACACCTGGTCAAACACGTTAAGAAATTAGAGAAAGTGCAAAAGTTTGCGACAAGGTTATTTCCAGAGCTCAGGGGAATGTCCTATGAAGAAAGGTTAAGGGAAATCGGCCTGACGACACTGGAGGACAGGAAGGTCAAGAGAGACATGATAACGACATGCAAAATACTGCGAGGAATGGATAAGGTGGACAGAGACAGGATGTTCCAGAGGTCACAATTGGAAACAAGAGGTCACAATTGGAAACTGAAGACTCAGATGAGTCAAAGGGATGTTAGGAAGTATTTCTTTAGTCACAGAGTAGTTAGGAAGTGGAATAGTCTGGCAAGCGATGTAGTGGAGGCAGGATCCATACATAGCTTTAAGCAGAGGTATGATAAAGCTCATGGTTCAGGGAGTGACCTAGTAGCGGCCAGTGAAGAGGCGGGGCCAGGAGCTTGGACTTGACCCCTGCAACCACAACTAGGTGAGTACATACATACACACACACACACACACACTTGACATCAGTAAGTTACCACTTACCTCAAGGTGGTGCAAGTGGTGGAAGGTCGATTACTAAGAAGGAGGGAGGGGGGGGGTCCTTCACCCCTTTCCCAACCACCTCTATGCTGCAGTGGGGCCGCAGTGGTGGTGGTGGGGTGGGGGGGGGGCGGGGCGCCCGCCCTTCCTTACGTCTAATACGTCACTGTATTTCCCGTCTTCCTGTTCCAACTCAAATCCAACCCCTCCCACTCACGTACAAGTCCCAAGTCCCACTCAAATATAACGTTACGGTCAGACATGGATCAGTGGTACCCAGGGAACAAGCTCTGGGTAACACTATGTTTGTATGGGATGAAAATGTGTGTGTGTGTGTGTGTGTGGTGGTGTGTGTGTGTGTGTGTGTGTGGTGGTGTGTGTGTGTTGGGGTGTGTGTGTGTGTTGTGTGTGTTGTCTTCACTGTGAAACGTTTACCTGTAGAGTATACTTCTTCAGTCAGATATGTAGGAGAGAGTAGACGCAGTGGAGGTGTCCAGACTGGGTGGTCAGTCCCTTAGTTTTGAAGTCTTAGCTTCAAGGTGGTCAGTTCCTCAGTCAGGAGATAAGTTAGCTCCATTGTTCCAGTGTCTGGAACACTGTTCCAGTGTCTGGAACACAGTTTCAGTGTCTGGAACACAGTTCCAGTGTATGGAACACAGTTCCAGTGTCTGGAACACAGTTCCAGTGTCTGGAACACAGTTCCAGTGTCTGGAACACAGTTCCAGTGTCTGGAACACAGTTCCAGTGTCTGGAACACAGTTCCAGTGTCTGGAACACAGTTCCAGTGTATGGAACACAGTTTCAGTGTGTGGAACTCTTCCAGTGTGTGGAACACCGTTCTGGTGTATGTGGAACATTATTCCAGTGTGTGGAACACTGTTCCAAAACTATTCTCCAGGGTGAGGGACTGACCACCTCAAAACAACGTCATCAAGGCTGAGTGACTGTTTATATGGTCAGCCCATCTCTACTACTGCTGTCACCTCTGTATTTGACTGAAGACGTCCCTACTGTGTAGACTAAACGTCTACTGGAGCAGCTTTTCACTGTCAGTGCTAGAAACGTGGGCGGTGTGGGCGTGGTCTTTTATGGCCAGGCTGCGATAGGCCATTACTACTACTACGACAGTACTAGTATTGCTACGACACTACTATTACTAGTACTACGACAGCACTATCATCACTACGACACTACTACTACTACTACTACTATAGCTAATACGACTGCTACAAAAACTACAACTATTACTACTACAACTACTACTCCTCCTGGAGTGTTGTCCTCCACATTCCAGTAAGTACTGGACCAGTGTCCTGACGCACCTTCCCCTGGATGCTCACAACAGCCAGCTGGAACACAGGTGTCTACTGTCACTGCTAGGTAAACAGGGGTAGTTGTTGCTTTGCAGAGCTGCAGTGCCAACTCTAGAAACATGTGGTGGTGGGTGGTGGATGGTGGTAGTAGTGGTGGTGGTAGAGGACAATAACAGAGGGAGCCATGAGTTCCAGGCGCATGTAAACGCCATGAGCTTTGTGGGCCGCGCATTTTGTGGTTCTCGCTGGCTTCTGGTAATCTGGGGAGGGGGGGGGCGCCTCCCCACCCTTGGGGCCCTCCAGAAGGGGCCCTAACCCCCCTGTGTCCCTCGTGAAGGGTCCTAACCACCCCTTTTCCCTGGAAGGGGCCCTAACCACCCCTGGGTCCCTCCTGAAGGGTCCCTTTAACCCCCGCTGGTCCCTCCTGAAGGGTCCCTAACCACCCCTAGTCCCTCGTGAAGGGGCCCTAACCACCCCTGGTCCCTCGTGAAGGGGTCCTAACCACCCCTGGTCCCTCCTGAAGGGGTCCTAACACCCCTGGTCCCTCGTGAAGGGGCCCTAACCACCCCTGGTCCCTCCTGAAGGGGCCCTAACCACCACTGGTCCCTCCTGAAGGGGCCCTAACCACCACTGGTCCCTCCTGAAGGGGCCCTAACCACCACTGGTCCCTCCTGCAGGGGCCCCAAACCCCCGTGTCCCCACCACATGTCCCCTTCCTGGGGAGGGACAATAAAGGGATAAATACCCCCTGTCCCTAATATTTACACAATTCCCAGCCCCTTAGGGGGAAATTCCAGTCATTAACTCAAACCCGAATTACCTCTCCTTTTCCCCGACCCATGCGGGTTGAGCGCTTGCCCAGGTGCCTCTGCCCACTGTGCAAGGGAAATGCCAGTCTCCCGGAACAAACACTGGCACTGTTGGTCAGTGCGTGAGTTTTCACTGCCAGGTGAGTTACAGTATAATCACAGGCACTTGTTGATAGATACCTGACCTGTTATTGTGTCACAGGCACTTGTTAACAATACCTGACCTGTTTTTGTGTCACAGGCACTTGTTAACAGATACCTGACCTGTTATTGTGTCACAGGCACTTGTTAACAGATACCTGCCTGTTATTTTTGTCACAGGCACTTGTTAACAGATACCTGACCTTTATGTCACAGGCACCTGCCGATAGCACCTGACCTGTGTGTGTGTGCATCATACCACCCAGGTAGGCCTATAAGACACCCAGGTAGGTTTATAAAGACACTCATACCACCCAGGTAGGCCTATAAGACACCCAGGTAGGTTTATAAGACACTCATGCCACCCAGGTAAGCCTATAAGACACTCATACCACCCAGGTAGGCCTATAAGACACCCAGGTAGGTTTATAAGACACTCATACCACCCAGGTAGGCCTATAACACACACCCAGGTAGGTCTATAAGACATGCCACCCAGGTAGGTCTATAAGACACTCATGCCATTCAGGTAGGTCTATAACACACCCAGGTAGGCCTATAACACCCAGGTAGGCCTATAAGCTACTCATGCCACCAAGGTAGGCCTATAAGCCACTCATGCCACCCAGGTAGGCCTATAAGACTCACACCACCCAGGTAGGCCTATAAAGCACTCGCACCACCCAGGTAGGTCTATAAAGCACTCACACCACCCAGGTAGTCCTATAAGACACTCATACCACCCAGGTAGGCCTATAAAGCACTCACACCACCCAGGTAGGCCTATAAAGCACTCACCACCCAGGTTGGTCTTATAAAGCACTCACACCACCCAGGTTTTTCCTATAAGACTCGCACCACCCAGGTAGGCCTATAAAGCACTCGCACCACCCAGGTAGGCCTATAAAGCACTCACCACCCAGGTAGGTCTATAAAGCACTCACACCACCCAGGTAGTCCTATAGACACTCATACCACCCAGGTAGGCCTATAAGCACTCACACCCCCCAGGTAGGCCTTCACTGGTTGAAGACAATGCTTACCTGGAGGTGAAGCACCCGGTATGGTGCGTCACGGAGCTGCGTTCACTCGTGAAGGAGTTGCGTCCCCGTGAATCACGGACAGGCATTCCCCTCACGAAACACTGATCTACTCACGTGAATCACGGAGCTGCGTCACTCGTGAATCACGGATCTACAAACGAGTGAATACGGAGCTGCGTCACTCGTGAATCACGGATCTACATCGAGTTTAATCACGGAGCTGCGTCACTCGTGAATCACGGTTCTACACACGTGAATCACGAGCTGCGTCACTCGTGAATCACGGGGTTTTGCATCACGTGAATCACGGAGCTGCGTCACTCGTGAATCACGGATCTACAAACACGTGAATCCGGGAGCTGCGTCACTCGTGAATCCGGATCTACATCACGTGAATCACGGAGCTGCGTCACTCGTGGAATACGGATGTACATCACGTGAATCACGGAGCTGCGTCACTTGTGAATCACGGATGTACATCACGTGAATCACGGAGGTGCGTCACTCGTGAATCAGGAGCTGCATCACGTGAATCACGGAGCTGCGTCACTCGTGATCAGGGAGCTGCATCACGTGAATCACGGACAGGCATACACTCGTGAATCAGAGTCACATCATGTAAATCAAGGACAGGCATCATTTGTAAATCACGGACAGGCATCAGTGAATCAAAGGAGCTGCACACTTTTGAATCACGGACAGGCATCACTGGTGAATCCAGGAGCTGCGTCACTGGTGAATCAAGGACCTGCGTCACTGGCGAATCACTACAAGTCATATTGTGACAGCACGGACGGAGAGTATAGTGCCGGTGTCTTGCGTCACACTGCCACGTCCGTGGGGACGTGTCCTTGAAGAACTTGCGTCACAGTTGCAACCACACACCACACACACAACACACACACACAAAGACAGACATGCACACACACACACACCACTGGGTGCCAGCAGACACGGCTTGTAAGGAGGGTGTGAGCAAGGTGTGAGCACTGGGGAGAGAGTGTGGAGGAGGAGGGTGTAAGCAAGGGCTCAGAGCACCTAACACCCGCACGCTACACCTCCTGCCACGCAACTGAGGGTTTCAACCAGCGGCAGTAGATGGCGGCGGCGGCGGCGGCGGCGGCGGCGGCGGAGGTGGCGGGAGGCGGCAGGAGAAAGAGAGGAGAAGCCAGCATCACCTTGTGTGTGTAAAATATGTACTTGGGCTCGACCCCCATGTAAGTATATAGGTGAGGCACATACACACACATTCCGAGGATGAGTACAGTGTGGTTGAGTGTGTTGGTTGTGTTTTTTGTTGGGTGTGTTTTGTTAGTTGTTGTGTGTTGGTTGTGTGTGTTGGTTGTGTGGTTTTTGGTTGTGTGTGTTGGGTGTGTGTTTTGGGTGTGTGTGTTGGTTGTGTGTGTTGGTAGTTGTGTGTTTGGGTGTGTGTGTTTGGGTTGTGTGTGTTTGGGTTGTGTGTTGGTTTGTGTGTTGGTGTGTGTTGGTTGTTGTGTTGGGTGTGTTTGTTGGGTGTTGTGTTGGGTGGGGGGGTGGGGGGGGGTTTGGGGGGGGGGGGGGGGGGTTGGGTGGTTGGTGGGTGTTGGGGGGGGGTGGGGTTTTTGGGGGGGGGGGGGGGTTTTGGGGGGGGGTTGGTGTGTGTTGTGTTGGTTTGTGTGTGTTGTGTTGGTTGTGTGGTTGGTTGTGTGTGTTGTTGTGTGTGTTGGTGTGTGTGTTGGTGTGTGTGTTGGTGTGTGTGTTGGTGTGTGGTTGGTGTGTGTTTGGTTGTGAGTTGGTTGTGTGTGTGGTTGTGTGTGTGGTTGTGTGTGTTGGTTGTGTGTGTTGGTTGTGTGTGTTGGTTGTGTGTGTGTTGGTTTGTGGTTGTTGTTGGTGTTTGGTTGTGTGTGTTGTTGTTGTGTGTTGTTTGTGTGGTTGTGGTGTTGGTTGAGTGTGTTGTTGTGTGTGTGTTGGTTGTGTGTGTTGGTTGTGTGTGTGGTTGTGTGGTTGTGTGTTGTTGGTTGTGTGTGGTTGGTTGGTGTTGTGTGTGTTGGTTGTGTTG